CCAAGGCGCTAGGTCCAGCACTCGAACTGCACTTGGCCATGTGGGAGTTCAACATCCTTAACCACACCACCTGTAGGCCCCCACATTTATTTTTTTAATTTATGTATTTATTTGTTTGTTTTAATTTGACCAGCGAAGAAGAAAGAGAGAGAGAGAGAGAGAGAAAGAAAGAAAGCAAGTCGCCAGATCTGGGACTCGAACCACAATCGGCCATGTGGGAGTCCAGCATAATTAACCACCATGCCACCTGCTAGCTTCCCCCCACACTTTTTTTTTAAGAAAGATTTTTGCTGTAGGATGTGTGCACTCACTGGAGAGATAGAGACAGATAGACAGAATGCGAGAAATTACCTCCTGGGGGGATGGCCACTCCGCAATCCCTTCTCTTCCATTCTCCTCTTAGGATTTTAGACTGGCATGCATGCACAGGGTGTGAGTTTTAAGCTGCCAGGTCTAGGACTTGAATTGCTGTCGACTACGTGGGAGTTCAGCAATGTAACCATTACACCATCTGCTGGTTCCCCCACATCCACATTTTAATTTTGGGAGTATTTTCTGGTCTTGCAGTGTTTGTCAACTTCATCCTCAGTAGCATTGGCAATTTCTTTTCTTTTCTTTTTTTTTGGAGAGGTTTTTTGCTGTAGGGTATGTGCGCTTGCCAGAAAGAGAGAGACAGAGAGACAGAAACTGAGAAATCACCGCCCAGGGGGATGGCCACGCCGCAATCCCTTCTCCTCCATTCTCCTCTCAGGATCTTGGGCACACACACACACGCGCCCGGTGTGAGTTTAAGCCACTGGGTCTGGGATTTGAACCGCGGTCAACTACATAGAAGTCTAGCGACATAGCCATTACGCCAACTGCTGTTCCCACACTGGCAATTTCTCTGTCCTTAGTAGGATACTTTTGCTCCTCAGTGGTTCATACCTGAATGTTGCTTGAATGCCAAACTTGCCAGTAACAGAACAAACTACATGCCAAGAGTCTTCCTGGTGATCAGACCCAGTGCAGTAAGGATGGACTCAAGTACAGTACATTTCTATTTTTTTCTTTTTTTTTTTTTTAAGAGATTTTTGCCTTAGCACATGTGTTCTCAGACATAGTGATAGAGAAAGTGAGAAATCACCTCTCAGTGGGGATGGCCATGCCTCAGTCCCCTCTCCATTCTCCTCCCGGAATCTTTGGCATGCATGTAAACATGCCCAGCGTGATTCTCAAACCACTGTGTCTTGAATTCCAGCCGTGCGTGGCCATATGGGTGTCCAGCGACGTAGCTGCTACACCATCTGTTGGTCCCACATTTCTATTTTTTAATTAATTCATGTTTTAGTATTTTGCTATAGGGTATATGTGCTTACCAGAGAATGGTAGAGACAGAGGGAGAGAGAGGGAAAGTGAGAAATTACTCCCCAGAAGGGATGCCACACCATAATCCCTTCTCTTCCATTCTTCTCTGGGATTTGGGGCATGCATGCGCATGTGTTCAGCGTGATTTTCCAGGTGTCAGGTCTGGGACTTGAACAGCAGAGGGATTCCACGTGAGATTCAGCACCTTAACCTCCTTGCCACCTGCTCGCTCTACAGTATACTTTTACTCAGAAAGCAGGGTAGTTCATTGCTGTGGTCTGCCTAGATGGTTCAATTTGTCTTGAAAGTCGAGGCTCAGAATCCACTTCGAGCTTCTCATGAATCTGAAGGGGCGTGCAGTCTTATCTGCCCTTTCCTAGAAAATGCACAGAGGCCAGGCATTTAGAAGCAGCTCATAAACTGGAAATGAATGCCCTCACTCACCTCACTCCAGTAATGTTTAACTTAGCTGTAATTAGCTAACCAAAGAAGATAGCGAAGAGAAGCCAAGGCCAGGAGCACGTCAGGAGCGAGCACTCCAGCCAACAAGGGACGTAATCGAGACTTTCCTCCACCCCTTGCCCTAAGTAACTCTTGGAGTGTGCTTGGGACACAGAGTTCAGATGGCTCTGAAAGTTCTGGGCTGCTGATAAGAGCAGACATTTTCTTGGAAAATTTTTACCTTAGGAAATCCCATTTGTCAAAGATTCGAATAGAGCAATAGGTGGCAGTTAGGGTGTGGAGTAGAAAAAACAGCAAAGGCAAGGAAGGTTTTCTGAGCGGTAAGCCTCAGCTATTCCATGAGAGTGGGTCATCTCACCCAACAGCAGTCTGATCTAACAACTTAAAAAGAAAAAAGAGGAAACAAACCACAAGATCATAGTGAGCAGAACTGAGAAAACACATGAATTAGACTAACTAGAACAGATTTTTTTTTTCACTTGTTTCTGAATTTCTGTGAAGTAGTCCTAAGGTAAATCTGCAATCATTGAGTCCAGGTTTGTTCATTTGTTCATGCATTGCATTTGTTCAGTGCGTACACGTGCCAGATTCATAGATGCCGGAGGCTGGGAATGCGATGGGAAGGGACAGCTACGCTGCCCCAGCTCTCAGAGATGGCCAGTATTGCATGCACAGCACTGCCGGACAGAGAAGGGCAGGGTGAGGAAGAACCTGTGAGATCACAGAGGACCCTGACTCAGCTATGGCTCCTGGGAAGAGCACATGCCCAGCGTGATTCTCAAACCACTGTGTCTTGAATTCCAGCCGTGCGTGGCCATATGGGTGTCCAGCGACGTAGCTGCTACACCATCTGTTGGTCCCACATTTCTATTTTTTAATTAATTCATGTTTTAGTATTTTGCTATAGGGTATATGTGCTTACCAGAGAATGGTAGAGACAGAGGGAGAGAGAGGGAAAGTGAGAAATTACTCCCCAGAAGGGATGCCACACCATAATCCCTTCTCTTCCATTCTTCTCTGGGATTTGGGGCATGCATGCGCATGTGTTCAGCGTGATTTTCCAGGTGTCAGGTCTGGGACTTGAACAGCAGAGGGATTCCACGTGAGATTCAGCACCTTAACCTCCTTGCCACCTGCTCGCTCTACAGTATACTTTTACTCAGAAAGCAGGGTAGTTCATTGCTGTGGTCTGCCTAGATGGTTCAATTTGTCTTGAAAGTCGAGGCTCAGAATCCACTTCGAGCTTCTCATGAATCTGAAGGGGCGTGCAGTCTTATCTGCCCTTTCCTAGAAAATGCACAGAGGCCAGGCATTTAGAAGCAGCTCATAAACTGGAAATGAATGCCCTCACTCACCTCACTCCAGTAATGTTTAACTTAGCTGTAATTAGCTAACCAAAGAAGATAGCGAAGAGAAGCCAAGGCCAGGAGCACGTCAGGAGCGAGCACTCCAGCCAACAAGGGACGTAATCGAGACTTTCCTCCACCCCTTGCCCTAAGTAACTCTTGGAGTGTGCTTGGGACACAGAGTTCAGATGGCTCTGAAAGTTCTGGGCTGCTGATAAGAGCAGACATTTTCTTGGAAAATTTTTACCTTAGGAAATCCCATTTGTCAAAGATTCGAATAGAGCAATAGGTGGCAGTTAGGGTGTGGAGTAGAAAAAACAGCAAAGGCAAGGAAGGTTTTCTGAGCGGTAAGCCTCAGCTATTCCATGAGAGTGGGTCATCTCACCCAACAGCAGTCTGATCTAACAACTTAAAAAGAAAAAAGAGGAAACAAACCACAAGATCATAGTGAGCAGAACTGAGAAAACACATGAATTAGACTAACTAGAACAGATTTTTTTTTTCACTTGTTTCTGAATTTCTGTGAAGTAGTCCTAAGGTAAATCTGCAATCATTGAGTCCAGGTTTGTTCATTTGTTCATGCATTGCATTTGTTCAGTGCGTACACGTGCCAGATTCATAGATGCCGGAGGCTGGGAATGCGATGGGAAGGGACAGCTACGCTGCCCCAGCTCTCAGAGATGGCCAGTATTGCATGCACAGCACTGCCGGACAGAGAAGGGCAGGGTGAGGAAGAACCTGTGAGATCACAGAGGACCCTGACTCAGCTATGGCTCCTGGGAAGAGCCCCAGAGAAGCTGATGCTGGATAGTCGAGTTGGGACCTCAGGGTTAAGGATGGTTTCGTTTAGGAAAAGAGGGCAGGTGAGCAGGAGGAGATGTTCTAGGCAGAGGGGAGCAGAGAAGATGCACTTCAGTGGAACCAGCACTCAGGGTGAGAGGGGAAAGTAATGGGAGATGAGGTTGGGCTGCTACCAGAGGAGCAAGGTTTTTGAGCAGGAGAAACAGCACGCTAAGGTTTTCTGTTTGAGTAGGCCACTCTGCCTGCAGCATATGGGGTAGACTGGGGTCAGTGAACATTGGGTGACCAGTGAGCTCTTGTGGCAGCCTGGGTGAGGGGCTGGAGAGAAGTGGATGGATGGGGGGCAATGGAGGAGGTAATGCTATAGGACTTGACAGGTTGGATATGAAGGAAGAGAGGAAGAGACCAAGGGTTTCTGACTTACAGAATGTGCTAGAAAGGGATGCTTTTTCTTTTATTTATTTATTTTGAAAGAAATCCTAATGGTTTTCTAGAAATAGGTACTTTTGGTGTACTTTTCCACAAGGATTGACAGATTTGCTTATGGAAGATCTTTAGGAAATACAGTGGGTAGTGGGAAGAGGGTTATCATGGGAAAGACATGAAGGCAGAGGAGGTCCCAGAAGTCCAGAACTTCAAGTGTGGACCTTGGCGGAAACTGACAGTTGGAGTAATGGCAGGGGGAAGGTCATGAAGACGCTCCTGATACATTATTTATCAGTGATTGGAATGAAAGATGAGAAGCAGAGACGAAAAGGAAGCACGGTGCTGTGCAGAGGGTATGAAATACGGCCGTGTTTGAATAGGAGCCAAGACGGATCAGACGTTACAGGTTAGGGAATGTGCTTACCTCATGATCACTCCTTTAAAAGTAAAGCTTGAAATTTGTGAAATTGCTTTTTTACAAGATGGCAAACAGGGCTTGTTTTGTTTCCTTAGGTGATTGATATGCCTGAACACAACCCTGGCAATTTGGGAGGAACCATGAGGCTGGGAGTAAGAAGAACTATTTTCAAAACGGAAAATTCAATATTAAGTAAGTTTCCCAGATCGTTTATTTTATAGGCTGTCTGGTGTCATTCATGTGACTGTGTGGGGCCCCAGTTGAGGGTGGAGGCTTAGAGCCCCAGTGCTCCCTGTCCTCTGTCTCCTCTGCCCTTGCTGACCCTCCGCTTAGGACATTCCTCTCTCGGGGAAGGTTCTTCCATGTAGAATACAATGGGATGCCTCTTCTTTGCTGATCTGCGTGACACCCCGTTCAGTAGGCTGTTTTGTGAGTTGCTGATGCACCTGGACGTGAACTTGGACTGGGAGAGAGAGCCTGGTTCTCACTCAGTTCTTCTGAATCTAGTTCTCTTCACTGCATTGAAACTGGCTTCCCGTTTCATTGTCTCACATGTTTGGTGTTAGCTCCTCGTGGATGATCTGAGAAAGTGGGTGTTATCTGCTTCTCAAGTATATTTCTCAGTCCCCTCCCCACCCCGTACCCTCTCATGGGAGAGGAAAGCATGATGTGCCTCATCCTCTGATATTTGCTGATCTCTCCTCTCCTCCTAAGCGGAACATTTTTCATATTATATGAGAATGACTTAATGTAAAAAACAAAGCAAACCAAAACCTAAGCCCTCGATTCAATGTAATAAATATGTCACAAGTGCCTGCTCTAGTCTGCAGCCACGGCAGTGACCAGGACACATTCTAGCCCTGCCCTCCTAGAGTCTCATAACAAGAGGCAAAGTGTGATAAAAGGGGAAGGGCAGGGTCAACTAGATGGAGTGGTGGTTAAGGTGGCTGGATCTCGCATGGCCGAATGCGTGGTTCGAATCCTGGACCTGGTGGCTTAGAAAATTCACCAGGTGCATGTGCATGTGTGCCCAAAATCCTGAGTGGAGAATGGAGAAGAGGTTGTGGTGTGACCATCTTCTTGGGGGATGATTTCTCACCTTCTCTCCTTCTCTCTTTCTTCATTAAGTACACATGCCCTACAGGAAAAACAAAACAAAACAACAAAAAATGGGAAGAGCAAAGTGTTAAAGGGGCAAGGGGTATCCCAGAGATCTCAGTGTCCAGTGTCATTTTTGTGAAGTTACAAGAATACCTAAGAAAAATGACTTCTTAGGGCCAGCAGGTGGCATGGTGGTTAAGGTGCTGGACTCTCACATGGCCAACTGCAGTTCAAATCCTAGACCTGGCGGCTTGCTTTCTCACTTTCCTTCTCTCTTCCTGTCTCTGTCTCTCTCTGGTAAGTGCACATGCCCTGTAGCAAATTAAAAAATAATAATAATAACAAATACAATGAAAAATTCTTAAAAAGAAAAATGTCTTCTTAGCTCAATAAAGAGTGAGACCAGCAATCTGATCTTCTCCTTTAAAGATGAATATAAGAGGATAGGGCCAGCAGGTGGCGTGGTGGTTAAAAGCACTGGACTCCCACATGGCTGACCATGGTTCAAGTCCTGGACCTGGTGGCTTGCTTTCTAACTCCTTCCCCCATCTGATCAAACTGGAAAATAATAATAATAAAAAATCAAGTTAAATAATTATTAAAAAAAGAATTATTTTATTTAACTTTATTTATTTATTTTAATTCGATCAGAGAGGAACAGAGTGAGAGAGAGAGAGAAAGTGCAAAAGCAAGTTGCCAGGTCTGAGACTTGAACTGTGGTCAGTCATGTGGGAGTACAGCCCCTTTAACCACTGTGCCACCTGTTGGCCCCAAAGTAATTCTTTTAAAATAAAAGCTCCTAAGGACTGTAAGGCTTCTTAGCACAAATGAAATTTAAAAAGAAAAAGTTCAAAGTGAATACATTTCCCTCCTTTTACTGGATAGGAAACTGTTTTTCTCTGAATGATTTTTGTTTTTACAAATATAGATTTTTTTTTCATGGATGTTAGCAACATTTTGGCTTTCACACATTTTCAAATACTTTGAAATTGTGTTGAAGTAATTGCCTGAGTGACAAAAAATGGTTAGTGGAAAAATTAATGTTTAATATTTTAAAATTGTATCTTCTGTGGAAGAGTCAGTGGTAATTGTACTGTGCTTTTTAAAAAAGAGCATTACACTCAATATATTTTTTAAAAAAGACTGACTTAAGATTTGTTTTTCTTTTCTTTCTTTTTTTCCCCCTGCTATTGTGTGTATGTGCTTGCCAGAGAGAGAGAGAGAAGAAAAGTAAACAACCCCCCCCACCCCCCGGGGATGGTCATGCTTCAATCATTTCTTCTCTATGCTCCTCTTGGGATTTTGGACATGCATGCACATGTGCCTGGTGTGATTTTCAAGACTCTGGGTCCAGGACTTGAACTGTAGAGTGAGTCATATGGGATCTAGCTGCCTTAACCTCCATGCTACCTGCTGGCATAAGATTTTTTCTTCTTTATGGTAGATGTAGAAATAATGTTGATAATTCTTATGAATATTAGTCACATCGCCAAAGCTTATTTTGCATATTAAAAAATTTTGTCAGAGGGTGCATGTGCTTGCTAGAGAAAGACAGAAAGACAGAGTTGGGGGAGAGGGAGAAAGCACCCCCAGTGTGACATGATCATACCACAATACCTTTTCCTCTGTTTCTCTATCCTATTAGGATTTTGGGCATGCATGCATATGTGCCCAGGTGTTTTTCGAGCCTCCATAGTCAGGATTCAAACCATTCACTTGGCCATGTGGAATCTATTGATAGTTCTCTCAACTACCAGGCCACAAAGGTGATCCTGGACATTTTAAAAACAGCTTTATTGAGGGGTTGGCAGGTGGTATGGTGGTTGTGGCATTGGACTCCCACATGGCTAACTATGGTTCAAGTCTTGGACCCTGTGGCTTGCGTTCTCACTTTCTCTTTCTCTCTCTCTCGTCAAATGAAAATAAATAATGATAACAATAAAGTTAAGTAAATTTTAAAAATCTTTTTGAGAGATAATGCATATACCATATGATTCATCTATCAGTAGTGTACAATTCATTGGTTTTTAATTGTAGCTGCAGGTGTGTGACCACTACCACAGTCAATTCTAGCACATTAGCACCATTTTAAATTGGAGCCCTGTACCCTTCAGCTGTCACTGTTCTCACTACTCCCAGTCCCTGCCAAACACTAATCTATTTTTTTAATTTTATTTATTTATTCATTTATTTTTAAATTTGACCAGAGAGAGATACGGGGTGGGGGAGTGAGAAAGCAAGCCACCAGGTCTGGGACTCGAACCGTGGTCAGCCATGTGGGAGTGTCTAGCACCTTAGCCACCACGCCACCCACTGGTCCCAACACTAATCTATTTTCTGCCTATAGATTTGCGTATTCTGGACATTTCATGTAAATAGAGGTGTGTGGTTGTAGTCTTTTGTGTCTAGCTCCAGTACTTTAAGCATAACATTTCCAAGGTACGTCCACATTATAGCATGTATTATTAGCACTTTATCCCTTTTAGTGGCTGAGTAATGTTCCATTGTGGGAGTATATCACATTTTGTTTATCCACTTAGCAACTAATTCAGTGGTCCTCAACATTCCTGGCACCAGGGACCGGCCTTGTGGAAGACTGTCCCTCCACAGACTGGAGGGGTTGTGGGGTATTGGTCCTGGGATGACTCAAGTGCATCACATTCACTGTGCACCCCATCCTACCACTGTCACGTTGCATTATACAGTGAAACAATCGCGCAATAGGGCTCCCATGAGAATCCAATACCTCTGCTGATCTGAGCGCAGGTGGCAATGTGAGCGTTGGGGAGTGGCTGCAAGCACAGCCGAAGCCTCACGCACTTGCCTGCTGCCGCCCCTCACTGCTCGACTGGTGGGGGTGGGAGTTGTGTTGTAGGAGGCAGCAAACTACATGCCATGGACCAGCATCAGTCTGCAACCCAGGGGTCGGGGACCCCTGAACTAGTGGACATTTGCGTTGTATCTAGGCAACAGTTTACTTAATTTTGTTGCCTTAAATTTATTTTACTTTTTTAAATCAATTTATTTTTAAGACAGAATTTTGCTATAGGGTGTGTGTGCTCACTAGATAGACAGAAGGACAGAAAGCGAGAAATTACCCCCCAGGGCAGGGGATGGCCATGCGGTAATCCCTGCTCCTCAGCTCTCCTCTCTGGATTTTGGGCACACACAGTTTTAAGCTGCCAGGTCCGAGACTCAAACTGCGGTCGACTCCATGGGAGTCAAGAAACGTAACTATTACACTATCTGCTTGTTCCTTGTTGCCTTCAATTTAAATTATGATTCTTAGTTTGCTAGAGGCATGTGATATTTGGGCCTGTGACCCTCAGGTAGTATAAGGTTTCACCCTCCCATCCACGCAAGACTGTCTTCCATAGGTTTACAAAAATGTGTCAGAGATAAGACTATGACCCTGTACATGACTATTGAGTTTTGGGGCATCCCCCTCCCCCCAGTTGGCAGATTGTAGAAGCTCATTTATTTATTTAACAAGCTGGCGCATTTCTTTTGTAGGATTTCTCTCTCTACTTGGCAAAATTATATCGTAGAGTTTTTTTCCCCGGTCAATATACTTTTGTGGGAATGGTCTGAACGAAATATATGTGTTGCCTACACTACCTGTGAAAACAACTAATAATTTTCATACTGGGTCAGCGAAAAAGTCATGACATTTTTGCATAGAAAAGCATTTTGATGCTATTTATCTTTTGTTTAAATTTGCTTTCTGTGCCAGTGCTTATAGTACTCTGGATCAAATGGGAAAACAGGAAGGTAAAAAATTCTTTTTTTTTTCTTTTTATGGAGAGGTTTTTGCTATAGGACATGTGCGCTCGCCAGAAAGACAGAGAGAGAGAGACAGAGAGACAGAAAGCAAGAAATCACTCCCCAGGTGGGATGGCCACGCTGCAATCCCTTCTCCTCCATTCTCCTCTCGGGATCTTGGGCACGCACACACACACACATGCTCAGCGTGAGTTTAAGCCACCGGGTCTGGGACTCGACCCGTGGTCAACTACATGGGAGTCCAGTGACATAGCCATTACGCTAACTGCTGGTCCCAGTAAAGAATTCTTTAGTAAAAGAGAGTACCT